CAATATTACTAGTAGTAGTAGTACTAGAAGTAGTACAAGTAGTAGTAGTACTTGCAATAGTAGTAGTTCTAGTAGTATTAGTAATAGTAGTAGTAGTAGTATTACTATTAGTAGTAGTAGCACTAGTAATAGTAGTACTAAAAGAAGTAGTAGTAGTACTAGTAGTAGTACTCGTGGTAGTAGTAGTACTAGTAATAGTAGTAGTAGTATTACTAGTAGTAGTAGTAGTAGTACTAGTAGTAGTAGTAGTATTACTAGTAGTAGTAGTAGTAGTAGTAGTATTAATAATAGTAGTAGTAATATTACTAGTAGTAGTACTAGTAATAATATTAGTACTAGTAGTAGTAGTAGTAGTACTAGTAGTTGTAGTATTACTAGTAGTAGTAGTAGCACTAGTAGTAGTAGTACTTAAATTAGTAGTATTAGTGCTAGTAGTAGTAGTATTAGTAGTACTAGTAGTGGTACTAGTAGTAGTACTAGTAGTAGTAGTAGTACTAGTAGTATTATTTGTAGCAATATTACTAGTAGTAGTAGTACTAGAAGTAGTACAAGTAGTAGTAGTACTTGCAATAGTAGTAGTTCTAGTAGTATTAGTAATAGTAGTAGTAGTAGTATTACTATTAGTAGTAGTAGCACTAGTAATAGTAGTACTAAAAGAAGTAGTAGTAGTACTAGTAGTAGTACTAGTGGTAGTATTAGTGCTAGTAGTAGTAGTATTAGTAGTACTAGTAGTGGTACTAGTAGTAGTACTAGTAGTAGTAGTAGTACTAGTAGTATTATTTGTAGCAATATTACTAGTAGTAGTAGTACTAGAAGTAGTACAAGTAGTAGTAGTACTTGCAATAGTAGTAGTACTAGTAGTATTAGTAATAGTAGTAGTAGTAGTATTACTATTAGTAGTAGTAGCACTAGTAATAGTAGTACTAAAAGAAGTAGTAGTAGTACTAGTAGTAGTACTCGTGGTAGTAGTAGTACTAGTAGTAGTAGTAGTAGTATTACTAGTAGTAGTAGTAGCACTAGTAGTAGTAGTACTTAAATTAGTAGTATTAGTGCTAGTAGTAGTAGTATTAGTAGTACTAGTAGTGGTACTAGTAGTAGTACTAGTAGTAGTAGTAGTACTAGTAGTATTATTTGTAGCAATATTACTAGTAGTAGTAGTACTAGAAGTAGTACAAGTAGTAGTAGTACTTGCAATAGTAGTAGTTCTAGTAGTATTAGTAATAGTAGTAGTAGTAGTATTACTATTAGTAGTAGTAGCACTAGTAATAGTAGTACTAAAAGAAGTAGTAGTAGTACTAGTAGTAGTACTCGTGGTAGTAGTAGTACTAGTAGTAGTAGTATTAGTATTACTAGTAGTAATAGTAGTAGTAGTATAACTAGCAGTAGTAGTAGTAGTACTAGTAGTAGTGGTAGTATTACTAGTAGTAGTAGCAGTAGTAGTAGTATTAATAATAGTAGTAGTAATATTACTAGTAGTAGTACTAGTAATAATATTAGTACTAGTAGTAGTAGTAGTAGTACTAGTAGTTGTAGTATTACTAGTAGTAGTAGTAGCACTAGTAGTAGTAGTACTTAAATAAGTAGTATTAGTGCTAGTAGTAGTAGTATTAGTAGTACTAGTAGTGGTACTAGTAGTAGTACTAGTAGTAGTAGTAGTACTAGTAGTATTATTTGTAGCAATATTACTAGTAGTAGTAGTACTAGAAGTAGTACAAGTAGTAGTAGTACTTGCAATAGTAGTAGTACTAGTAGTATTAGTAATAGTAGTAGTAGTAGTATTACTATTAGTAGTAGTAGCACTAGTAATAGTAGTACTAAAAGTAGTAGTAGTACTAGTAGTAGTAGTAGTAGTACTAGTAGTAGTAGTAGTAGTATTGAAGTATTATTAGTAGTAATAGTACTAGTAGTAGTAGTACAAGTACTAGTATTAGTAGTACTATTAGTAGTAGTAGTATTACTAGAAGTAGTAGTAGTATTAGTACTAGTAGTAGTAGTAGTACAAAGAGTAGAATTAGTACTAGTAGTAGTAGTACTACGAGTAGTTTTAATAGTAGTAGTACTAGTAGTAGTAGTATTTCAATAGTAGTAGTACTAGTAGTAGTAGTTGTAGTACTAGTAGTAGTATTATTACTAGAAGTAGTAGTACTAGTATTATTAGTAATACTAGTAGTACTACTAGTAGTAGTAGTAGTGGTAGTAGTAGTATTAGTATTAGTAGTAGTAGTAGTACTAGTAGAACTAGTAGTAGTAATAGTAGTAACAGTACTAGTAGTAGTATTACTAGTAATATTAGTAGGAGTACTAGTAGTAGTAGTATAGTAGTATTAATAGTAGTAGTAGTACTAGTATTAGTACTAGTAGTACTAGTAGTATTACCAGTCGTAGTAATACTAGTAGTAGTATTAGTAGTATTAATACTGGTAGTACTAGTCGTAGTGGTAATAGTAGTAGTAGTACTAGTAGTATTAGTAGTACTAGTAGCACTAGTATTAGTAGTAGCAGTACTAGTAGTAGTAGAATAAGTACTAGCAGTAGTAGTAGTACTAGTAGTATTAGTATTATTAGTAATACTAGTAGTAGTAGTACTAGTAGTAGTAGTAGCACTAGTAGTTGTGGTACCAGAAGTAGTAGTAGTAGTACTAGTAGTAGTAGTAGTACTAGTAGTAGTATTAGTAGTAGTACTAGTAGTAGCATTAGTATTAGTAGTAGTAGTAGTACTAGTAGTAGTAGTACAAGTACTAGTATTAGTAGTATTAGTACTAGTAACACTAGTAGTATTGGTAGTAGTAGTAGTAGTACTAGTAGTAGTAGTACTAGTAGTAGTAGTAGCACTAGTAGTAGTAGTACTAGAAGTAGTAGTAGTAGTACTAGTAGTAGTAGTACTAGTATTACTATTAGTAGTAGTACTAGTAGTAGTAGTGTAGTACTAGTAGTAGTAGTAGTACTACTGGAATTAGTAGTACTATTAGTAGTATTATTACTAGTAGTAGTAGTACTAATAGTAGTAGTAGTATTACTAGTAGTAGTAGTAGTATCACTAGTAGTAATAGTACTAAAATAGTAGTAGTACTAGTAGTAATAGTAGCATTAGTATTACTAGTAGTAATACTATTAGTAGTAGTACTAGCAGTACTAGTAGTAGTAGTATTACTAGTAGTAGTAGTAGCACTAGTAATAGTAGTACTAAAAGTAGTAGAAGTAGTACTAGTAGTAGTACTCGTGGTAGTAGTAGTACTAGTAGTAGTAGTAGTAGTATTACTAGTAGTAGTGGTAGTAGCACAAGTAGTAGTAGTACTAAAAGTAGTAGTAGTACTAGTAGTAGTAGTAATAGTAGTAGTAGTAGTACTAGTAGTATAATTAATACTAGTAGTAGTAGTAGTACTAGTAGTAGTAGTAGTAGTACTAGAAGTATTATTAGTAGTAATAGTACTAGTAGTAGTAGTACAAGTACTAGTAGTAGTAGTACTAGTAGTAGTAGTAGTATTACTAGAAGTAGTAGTAGCATTAGTAATAGTAGTAGTAGTAGTACAAAGAGTAGTATTAGTACTAGTAGTAGTAGTAGTACTACGAGTAGTGTTAATAGTAGTAGTACTAGTAGTAGTAGTATTTGCAATAGTAGTAGTACTAGTAGTAGTAGTAGTAGTTGTAGTACTAGTAGTAGTATTATTACTAGAAGTAATAGTACTAGTATTATTAGTAATACTAGTAGTACTACTAGTAGTAGTAGTATTGGTAGTAGTAGTATTAGTATTAGTAGTAGTAGTAGTAGTACTAGTAGAACTAGTAGTAGTAATAGTAGTAACAGTACAGTAGTAGTACTACTAGTAGTAATAGTAGGAGTACTAGTAGTAGTAGTAGTAGTAGTAGTATTAATAGTAGTAGTAGTACTAGTATTAGTACTAGTAGTACTAGTAGTATTACCAGTCGTAATAATACTAGTAGTAGTATTAGTAGTATTATTATTGGTAGTACTAGTCGTAGTGGTAATAGTAGTAGTAGTACTAGTAGTATTAGTAGTAGGAGTACTAGCATTAGTACTAGTAGTAGTAGTAGTACCAGTACTAGTAATACTAGAAGTAGTAGTAATAGTATTAGTACTAGTAGTACTAGTCGTAGCGGTAGTAGTAGTAGTAGTAATAATGGTAGTAGTAGTACTAGTAGCACTAGTAGTAGTAGCAGTATTAGTAGTAGTAGAATAAGTACTAGTAGTAGTAGTAGTACTAGTAGTATTAGTATTAGTAGTAATACTAGTAGTAGTAGTACTAGTAGTAGTAGTAGCACTATTAGTAGTGGTACCAGAAGTAGTAGTAGTACTAGTAGTAGTAGTAGTACTAGTAGTAGTATTATTAGTAGTACTAGTAGTAGCATTAGTATTAGTAGTAGTAGTAGTACTAGTAGTAGTAGTACAAGTACTAGTAGTAGTAGTATTAGTACTAGTAACACTAGTAGTATTGGTAGTAGTAGTAGTACTAGTAGTAGTAGTACTGGTAGTAGTAGTAGCACTAGTAGTAGTAGTACTAGAAGTAGTAGTAGTAGTACTAGTAGTAGTAGTACTAGTATTACTATTAGTAGTAGTACTAGTAGTAGTAGTAGTAGTACTAGAAGTAGTAGTACTACTGGAATTAGTAGTACTATTAGTAGTATTATTACTAGTAGTAGTAGTACTAAAAGTAGTAGTAGTATTACTAGTAGTAGTAGTAGTATCACTAGTAGTAATAGTACTAAAATAGTAGTAGTACTAGTAGTAATAGTAGCATTAGTATTACTAGTAGTAATAGTAATAGAAGTAGTGGTAGCAGTACTAGTAGTAGTAGTGGTATTACTAGTAGTAATAGTAGCATTAGTATTACTAGTAGTAATACTATTAGTAGTAGTACTAGCAGTACTAGTAGTAGTAGTATTACTTGTATTAGTAGTAGCACTAGTAGTAGTAGTATTAAAGTAGTATTAGTAGTACTAGTAGTAGTACTAGTAGTAGTAGTAATAGTACTAGTAGTAGTATGAGTAGTAGTACTAGTAGTAGTAGTAGTAATAGTACTAGTAGTAGTATGAGTAGTATTACTAGTAGTAGTAGTAGTAGTAGTACTAGTAGTATTAGTAGTAGTAGTACTAGAATTATTAGTGCTAGTCTTAGTATTAGTATCAGTAGTAGTAGTAGTGGTAGTTGCATTAGTAGTAGCAGTAGTAGTACTCGTAGCAGTAGTAGTAGTACTAGTATTACTACTAGTAGTATTAGTAGTACCAGTAGTAGTAGTACTAGTAGTAGTAGTAGGAGTACTAGCAGTACTAGTAGTAGTGGTAGTAGTAGTAGTACTAGTAGTAGTAGTAATAGTACTAGTAGTAGTAGTTGTAGTACTAGTAGTAGAAGTAGTAGTACTAGTAGTAGTAATAGTAGTAGTACTAGTAGTAGTAGTATTAGTAGTACTAGTAGTAGTACTAGTAGTAGTATTACTAGTAGTAGTAGTGCAAGTAGTAGTAGTAGTTGTACTAGTAGTAGTAGTAGTACTAGTAGAATTAGTAGTACTAGTAGAAGTAATAGTAGTACTAGTAGTAGTAGTAGTAGTACTAGTAGTACTAGTAGAAGTAGTGGTATTATTAGTAGTAGTAGTAGTATTAGTATTACTAGTAGTAATAGTAGTAGTAGTATTACTAGCAGTAGTAGTAGTAGTACTAGTAGTAGTGGTAGTATTATAGTAGTAGTAGTAGCAGTAGTAGTAGTATTAATAATAGTAGTAGTAATATTACTAGTAGTAGTACTAGTAATAATATTAGTACTAGTAGTAGTAGTACTAGTAGTTGTAGTATTACTAGTATTAGTAGTAGTAGCACTAGTAGTAGTAGTACTTAAATTAGTAGTATTAGTGCTAGTAGTAGTAGTATTAGTAGTACTAGTAGTGGTACTAGTAGTAGTACTAGTAGTAGTAGTAGTACTAGTAGTATTATTTGTAGCAATATTACTAGTAGTAGTAGTACTAGAAGTAGTACAAGTAGTAGTAGTACTTGCAATAGTAGTAGTTCTAGTAGTATTAGTAATAGTAGTAGTAGTAGTATTACTATTAGTAGTAGTAGCACTAGTAATAGTAGTACTAAAAGAAGTAGTAGTAGTACTAGTAGTAGTACTCGTGGTAGTAGTAGTAGTAGTAGTAGTAGTAGTAGTATTACTAGTAGTAGTGGTAGTAGCACAAGTAGTAGTAGTACTAAAAGTAGTAGTAGTACTAGTAGTAGTAGTAGTAGTACTAGTAGTAGTAGTAGTACTAGTAGTATAATTAATACTAGTAGTAGTAGTAGTACTAGTAGTAGTAGTAGTAGTACTAGAAGTATTATTAGTAGTAATAGTACTAGTAGTAGTAGTACAAGTACTAGTAGTAGTAGTACTAGTAGTAGTAGTAGTATTACTAGAAGTAGTAGTAGTATTAGTACTAGTAGTAGTAGTAGTACAAAGAGTAGAATTAGTACTAGTAGTAGTAGTAGTACTACGAGTAGTTTTAATTGTAGTAGTACTAGTAGTAGTAGTATTTCAATAGTAGTAGAACTAGTAGTTGTAGTAGTAGTTGTAGTACTAGTAGTAGTATTATTACTAGAAGTAGTAGTACTAGTATTATTAGTAATACTAGTAGTACTACTAGTAGTAGTAGTAGTGGTAGTAGTAGTACTAGTATTAGTAGTAGTAGTAGTAGTACTAGTAGAACTAGTAGTAGTAATAGTAGTAACAGTACTAGTAGTAGTACTACTAGTAGTATTAGTAGGAGTACTAGTAGTAGTAGTAGTATTAATAGTAGTAGTAGTACTAGTATTAGTACAAGTAGTACTAGTAGTATTACCAGGCGTAGTAATACTAGTAGTAGTATTAGTAGTATTAATACTGGTAGTACTAGTCGTAGTGGTAATAGTAGTAGTAGTACTAGTAGTATTAGTAGTACTAGTAGCACTAGTAGTAGTAGTAGCAGTACTAGTAGTAGTAGAATAAGTACTAGTAGTAGTAGTAGTACTAGTAGTATTAGTATTAGTAGTAATACTAGTAGTAGTAGTACTAGTAGTAGTAGTAGCACTAGTAGTAGTGGTACCAGAAGTAGTAGTAGTAGTACTAGTAGTAGTAGTAGTACTAGTAGTATTATTAGTAGTAGTACTAGTAGTAGCATTAGTATTAGTAGTAGTAGTAGTACTAGTAGTAGTAGTACAAGTACTAGTAGTAGTAGTATTAG